TTTATTTCATCCTTAATCGAGAGTTCTCTCTTACGTTATAAGAGGGGTAATTAACTATGGGCGCTTGCACTCATAGGAAGTAAGTACCCCAGATCTATAAACCCTGACACTACCCTCAGGGGAAATCTGGTTAATTTCAATCTGACTTAAGGGAAATGGAATCCTAAGGTTTCAAAGCGGGATTCGCGCACTCGTGCCATTTTTTTTGAGCCAACAATATGTCTTAAAATTCAGTTCTGCTATAGAAATGAATTATCTTGGTATAAAGCTTACGCTAAGGAGGATGGTAAGCTCAGACTATAATAAACTGATGGAATTTGCTTTAAATAAGCTGAATATATGGGGAAAGAATTTTATCTCATTGGAAGGTAAAATGTTCTTGTTAAAATCAGCTTTCTTATCTTTTCTAATTTTTCTATCAACTCTTTCCTTGGTGCCTTTGGGAATCTTAATGGAGTTTGATAAAATGTGTAGAGCTTTTTGTGGAATAAAAAAAATGGGAATTTGGGTTTGCATTATGTATCTTGGAAGGACTATGTAAACCAAAACAAAAAGGAGGAAGAGGTCTCTTTTCAGCGGTTGCAAAAGTGGGTCATCTAAGAGCCAAGTTTGCTTGGGAATTCTATATGAAGACGGAATCATTACTCAATTGCATCCTAAAAGCAAAATATGGAGATGATTTATGGAAGAAACTGGAGACAAAAGGAAGTTCTTCTACTTGGAGAATACTATGTAGTGGAGCTAAATATCTTACTAATATTGTAAGATGGAAAATCTTCAATGGGAATTCTATTAACTGGATGAATGATGCTTGGATATTGTATAGGAATATATCCAAATGGCCTACTTTTGTTAGTAACATGGAAATTAACAATTACAACCTGAACTTCTTTTTGCTGGATGGAGAATGGAACTTGGAATATCTACAAATGTTATTTGGAAAGCAATTAATTGATCTCATATTACAAACTCCCATCTTTAGAAATCAAGGAGCGGATCAAATTGAATTGAAAAGGAAAGCTACTAGTTGTTCAATAGCAGCAATCTCACAAGCTTATATCTACAAAGAAGATGCAAACTGTGAATTGTGGAATTGGCTAAAGAATGTTAAGGTAAGACCAAAGGTTGAGTTGTTTTGGTGGAGAATGTACAAGAAAGCCATCCCAAGATGCACGTTCTTATTTCATAGAAAATTGATTTCTTGCACCGGTTGTCCAAGAGGATGTAATAAAGATGAAGATAGTAATCACATTGCTGGAGAATGTGATAAATTGAAGAAGGTAATTGTTTGGCTCAACAAATGGGGATTTCAAGTTCCACAATTTGTAAGCTTTAATGATTGTTTAAAAGAATTGGAAAGAATGTTTGGTAAGAATACATTGGTTGTAAACATCTATTGTAATGTAGTCTTTCTTGTATGGAAAAGCAGAAATTTGCTAATTCATGAAGGAAGGGAAGAATCAAATTCTTATATTGCAGTCAACTCTATATAAATGGCTGTTGTAACACCGGTAATCAATATCCAAACGAAAAACTGGGATGTCAATCAGCATATGTTGTTTTCTTCTTGGCGTCCTCCTCCACCCGGATGGATAAAAATCAATATGGATGCATCATTAAACAACAATTATTCAGCTGGAGTTCCTGGAGTTTGTAGAGATGAAAAAGGAAGGTTATTACTTGCATTTGGAACTCAACTTGTGCATTGGGACATTAGACAATTGAAACTACAAGCGGTTTTCATGATTAAAGATGTAACACAAGATTGGATGATGGAAGCTCAAGGAGTTATTATTGAAGGAGATAACTTCAACATCAACAAAATTCTTCAACAAGCTTTGAGGAACTTTAAATCGAAAGGAATAATTGAAGATAAGTTATCCTTCATTTTAGATTTTATTCAAATTTATTTTAGTTTTACTACTAGAAATTGTAATAAATTAGCGGATTGTAGTGCTAATTTAGCTTTAAGAAAAAGTTTTATTTGGAATGATCTAACTAATAATGAAATTCCTCCTTCATTCTTTTATATATTGAAGGATGAATTTGATTCGTTAGATCGGATTTAGTTGTAATAACTTCTTCTTCTTTTTCTAGTATTCAATGCATTGAGGCATTTCTTTCAAAAAAAAAAAAAAACATATAATTTTTCATGTTCTTAATTTTTTTTAAACTATTTGGAGATATCCTCATCGTTGTATCAAATCTTAGAATATATAAGAATATCATCTATGATGATTATTACAAGCTAATCTAGTTACAAAGAATATCATGTTCATTAGGCTCGTGAAAATAGCTGGTTCATTCATCAATCAAAATGGCATGATGAGAACTCAATAGTGCCCTAAATAGATTTTGGAAGAATGTATCTTAAGTCATTTCTTGAACTTATGTTGTTGATATATTGAACACAAATTGACTTTGAAAAATATCACAGCTCCTTATCAATCCTTGATATTTTATCTGTGATGTCTGCTTGATTTAGCTCTAAATATTTTTAATATTATTATATATATATATATATGTGTGTGTGTGTGTGTGTGTGTGTGTGTGTGTGTGTGGTGGTAAAAAATAAAGTTAATAAATGGAAGTTTAAACAAATTGCAGTTGGAATGGATATCTAGCATGTTAAATTATTCATATATAAAATTTGAATAAACTAATTAACTAGAAAAGGGAGCTTCATCATTCCAATATTGAATTGAAATAATATGATATGAAAATAGTTAAAAGTAACTCCAAGCAAGTTTTAGAATCAATTAATAAGTTAATCTATCTTATTAACACTCTAAAAAAAGAAAATTTATATTAAGCATCTTTGGCATCATATATTCAAACATGCAAATAGTATGATACCTAAGACCCCTACCATTGTCTTCCTGACTTTTATATAGAATTTGATGTTATTTGCGATGCTTATTGGTGGCATCCTTAGCCAAGATAATCTACTTATTGCTTTTTATAACTACAAGACATTAAATGAGGCTAAGCATCATAATTCAACTGATGATTATAAGTTTTATGCTATAATTCAGGCACTTGTCATTAGCAACATTAACTTTTGAACCAATAGAATATGAGCATAAAGCTCTCACGTACTCTAATGGTTGAATAAACTTATATGTTTATCTACTTTTCACCTTTTAAATTGATGACGACCAAACTGAGGTAATAAATAATTATTTTTGTTACCTACTTTTATGATTAATTAACAATCATTTAGATGCATAGGGCTTTTAAGTTGCTTATTATAATTTTCATGAAATTCTTATATTTGTGTTATCCGATTAGAAGCTCTGACTGGCTCTTCCTATCGTATCAATGTCATATATGAAAGGAGAATTGGTACCAAAAGACATTATTCTTATCGTCATAGAACCTGCTTCAGTAACCAATCGATATATAAGTCAAATTTCTAATTGCCTGAAAACCTCTTTTCTAGTCAAAGATGCCTTGGATAAAAAAAATATCCTTTGAAAATTTTGTAGCGCATTCTTCCTTGAAAACTTAATGGTATCATATCATTTCTTCAACATACATCACAATCATATTTTTCTACCTTATTTGTTCATCATATTAAAAAATCATCATAATAAAATTCTTTGTACATTTCATATATTGATCTTCTTTCTGATTTATTTTCTTTGAATAGTTTGACTTAGATTCTTGCCTAATTCCAACACTATATGCTACCTTTTTTTAGTCATATATTTGCTCATTTACTTTGCCCGAATAAGTCATTATGGCTGGATGTAATTATAGTCTATCGAGAAAAGTATTTTTTTTTTTGGAACTGGGGTATCTATTCAATTCGCTGCCACTCCAAAGGAAGCACTTGGCGGCATAACTAATCCCTTGGCGGAACCTAGCGAGGCCACCCACTGGCATCGGGCCCACACTTTCTTTGCTCCACTGAAGAGGCGAGGTCGTAGTAGAGGGGATTCGAACCCGGGATGGGGCTACCCAACCGTGCTTGCCCACCTACCACCCTAAACCTCAGTGGGTAATAAAAGTTTGATATAGCCAAATCTTATTGGAAATCAGAAAAAAGAAAAAGAAAAAAAAAAAAAAAACTAGCAGGTTAGCAATGCTTCTGAGAAGGTGAAAAAAACATTCATTGTTTTGATTGAATCAAAGGTTATAATTCATTCCATTAGAGAAAACATCTCACATCAACCAAATAGTATTAACACAATCATCATTACAGTCTATTAAGTACAAAACATAGCATCTCTGTTGATTATTTTATACCAAAAATTCTCTATCACATCATTCTCTTTCACAATTATATTGAATTTAACATCTTATTCCTACAATCAATGTCACTTCTCTACTCAATTATAGCTCACTTTTGCTAAACTTTCATCATGAACATAAAATTTTATAATTAGAAAGCAGTCAAAATGGTCCCTCTCATATTAATGAGGAGTCATTTTTTAGGCTTAAATTATTTTTTGTGCAATTTAATCTTTTTATTTCTTAAATTTAATCCAAAATAATTATTTATCATCTCAAATCTATTTCAAAATAATCCAAAAATAATTCATTTCGAATCATATTTGAGAAGTCAAGGAACTGAATTGAACATATTAGATGGATGAATTGGGGCTAAGAAGAATTCATACAATAATCCTCTACATAAAATCCATTATTCATTCAGGCAAAACAGAAATGATTTATCAGATTAAATCTCTACCAAACTCAGATTGATGAATATCTATACAACCATCAGATGGATTCTGCAACAGTAATGGCTTCATTTGAAAGTTACTGTAATAATATGAACTCTCAGAGCTCAAGTTCAGCGCATCATTGACACTAATCTATTCATCTCAGCCCCTATATTGCTGTTCTAGTTAAAACTGTTGATTGAGCTATCTCCATAGAAATAATTCTCTGTACCAGTTAATAATTCTGAAGCTGCAATGAATGCAGATATGTTAAGAATTGGTCGTGGTAATTGAAAGTCTAATGCTGGGAAGGGGTCAAAGACAGGTTTGATTGCTGAATTTATATGATTTGCATTACTGAAATTATGATTTTTTTTATCATTTTTGATGTCATTCAGTGGCTTGTGGGTTGCTGGATCGATTCCGTTTTGTTGAAGTTTCTTCTTCAGTTATGATCTCATTATCTGTCCTTCTTGGTAGATGAGTGGCAATCTGAGACCATCTAAAGGATCAAACTTATGAGAATTTGGTAAAGATTTGTAGGTTTCGTTGCTGTAACATACAACTTTATTAAATATTGGAGTTTTTTTGTAGAAATTATATGATAAGGGGATTTACATACATGCCACAAAATTGTAATATATTTACATATCTAGTATTTAAATATATATATTTTTATCGTTTATATAACCATCAAATCTCCAAATAACTTCCAAAATACTACTAATATTTACTTAATATTAACTTAATCTGAAATGAAATATACTTTTCATGCAAATATTTTGATGTGATTTAAATACTAAGATATTATATAAGTAAATATAAATATTTAGGTATTATTTATGAAAATATATAAGAATTTTTTTTTATTTATGTTTTGTTTGTTGAGAAAATAGCATTACGAGCTCAAGATAGTAAGAATGTAATTTCAATTTGAAATTGTGTTAAGTAGTAATGAGAATTCCCATGTTTTGGTGAGATTTACCTATTTGATGTGAATCAACTAGGAGTTACTTCAGAAATTAAAAGGAAGAATTGATTAAAACTTGCTAATGAAAATTATTGCTTGCAAATAGAGAAGAGTTAGGAATTCAAAGTATTCAACTTGCTTAGGCAAAGAAGCGCTTTTTAGATTAGCCGAACAATCCAATCAAAATTAAAAGACAATAGTAAATGTTACATACACATAACATAATCCACCACTTAATAACGAGAGGTTCACCTTGAGTACCTTCTCACTCAATCACTTTTAGGCTTTAGCGGAAAAAGACAAACCATACGAGAAAGGATATTACCACTAGGAAGATGGTGCCCAAGACCTTCATTGATGGAGAGGTAACCGGCGGTGGAGGAGGCGGTGAGTGACCGATGATTATCCAATGATTCGGTTGAATGTGCTCTTCAATCGATAATGTTAGTTGGTATAAGATGCGGTCGATGTATCTGTCAACAGTCTCGTCGTTGCCAAAGTACACCTCAAAGAAAAGGGATCCAAGAATATCCGTCCTTCCTTGCACGTCGAAGAAAAATCCGCGGTCGACCTCAGGATCGGCCATACATGGTTGCCTTGATTTGTGTGAGCAAGGTAGTAGGGAAGAGGGAAGAGAAGGTTGTGGTTGGAGGAGGAGGCCGGTGGCTTGGGTAGAGAGGGGAAGGGGTGGGATGGCTTCGTGATCTGTGAGGCGGCTAGGGTTTGGGTTAAGCAGAGGTTGGAATTTTGATAATTTGAATTTAATTTTAGGTTAAGTGAAATTGGAGGTAATCATTTTAAAATAAAATTCAAATTCAAGGAGGGTTTAGGAATTCAAAATAGAAAACAATTAATTGCCCATTAAAGAGGAAGGGGGGGGGGGGGGGGGGGGGGGGGGTACAAAAAGAGGAGGAGGGAGAGATTGGAGGGATTGAATACTTTCCAAACAAGCTAAGACAAATTAAGATGGGAAATAATTAAATACTCTCCAAATTAAATTAAGATTGGACTCAAATTTGAAAACTTGACTTATTTGGATTTGCAAATATGACAAGTTTTTGAAATTCAAATTTGAATTTCAAAAGGGTTCTAATTCCTTCCCTTTGTTGATTAAGCCAATTTAGGGAATCAATATGATGATTGGATTCACCTTAATGGCTTGGCGTGATGAGGGGGGGCCGGCGGCCAAGGATATAGTGGGTGGGGTTGGCGTCGGGTTGGGTGGCCAAGAGTTAGGTAGGCGGGTGGACTTGGGGTGGTGGAGTTATGGGAGGAATTGGGTGGAGGGGGAAAGCAATCGGTGGTGGAGGGGCAAGGAGGGGCCGGCGGATGGAGTGGGAGAAGAAGAAGAGAAAAGCACAAATAAAATAAAATAAACTAACCACGAGCCGTGGACCCTTCCAATGACTGGTGGATATCGCGCTAGCCCTCGCCTCGGGCTCTCTCTCCCTTCTCACTAGTGCTCACACAAGAAGAAGAAGAAAACATAAGAGATTTTCATTATCATTCATCATTCTCATTACAATATATGAGGCATCAATATATAGACCCCAACTAAAATAAAGGAAAAGGCTTGAATGTCCCTTGGGCTACAACTCAAATGAACTCAAGTAAAAGGGTACAACTGGAACTAGAAAATAAATAACACATAAATGCATAAAAAATAAAGACTGTGAATCGTAGCCGTTGATCTACGTCGATAAACTTATCAATAACATTTGTCAATGTCCTCATCACTATTTCCTAAGACTTCATGGAGACTGATGATCAAATCTTCTTCATCTTGTGAGAATGATCCTCTCTTGAGATTTGGCCTCAGGTAATTAATCCACCTCAACCTGCAACTCTTTCCACATCTCTGAAGCCCTGAATCAAATATATCAAAGAATAGGATTTGATCAATTTGATAAAATTCATTTCATGAAATTGAATAGTAAAGTTGTAGTGTTATTAGAGTGAACTAACCTGCTCTCTTAGGTACGAAACTCCAGCAACCAATACCAAATCTGATTACATGATTGAAGAGCTTCTCATCTTCGTCAGGAGACCATAATCCCTTAACTTCTGCTTCAGACAACATGAATGAATTACCATTCTGAGATTTGTTTAGAGCGGCGAAGCAAGCTAGTGATTGAGAAAATTCCTGAGAAAGTCTGGTGGTTTATGAGGGCAATGAAGTTTGAAGTTTGAAGTTAAGTAAGTGAGTGGGATCTAAGCTAATCTTTGATGTTATTGAACTATAGTGGATGGAGATGTAGGTTTTATTTGGGATGGCTTTTTCTCTGCTTCTTGAAGTATATTTTTAATACAAATTTTTTAACTTTTATACTAAAAAAATTGCTTCAAGAAGCAGTAAAAAAATCGTCCCAAACGAAGCCTTAATGTCTCACTACCTTTAGTGGAGGAATGAAGCCAATAATTTAGAACAATATTATGTAAAATGATTAACAATAAAACAAGATTGATTAAGGAAATAATGTCAAAATCTGTACCTTTTCATTGGTAGCTGCATCTAAGGGTTTACATACATACCAAAAAGAATTATTATATTTACAGATATGTATGTAATCTGAATGTAAGTCCCCCTTTTTCTTTTTTTCTTTTCATAGAATATTTATAACTATGCTAATGGAATCAAAAGCTTGTTGTGAAGAGACCTAAATGATTTTAATAACACCAAACAAATGTTTTTTAGAAGCATCCATCAATCACTTCTGTTATGTTTGTTCACGAGACAACACCTTTTCTTTGCTGATGTAGCCTTCGATGCAACGGCTGTTAAAAGTTGCTTACCACAGCACTTATAAATATTATGGAATTATCAGTAAAAGATAAACTTTAAGAAAGTTCAATATATCAGCACAAAGAAGCATTATATGGCCTACAACTAACTAGAATTTAATGAATGTCGCAGACAAAATAAAGGACTCTATGTAGTGGTCCAGTTTGTAGTCCCAACATCAATTATTGCATCAACAATGTCATTATACCTTTAATTATTAATTAATAGATAGCTAAACACATACAAACCACTAATAATATGGATATTTATTTTCATATCTAACATCATAATCTTTTTATTTTTTGTATGTACACTCTAATCTCTAAATGGCAAAAAATATCATTTACATTAACTTCTCTAAGTGTAATACTCATTTTCTTGTACATCTTTTGATGTCATTTAGATACTATGATGTTATATAAGTAAATATAAAGATTTAGTTATTAGATATATTAAATACATAGAAATTAAATGGCATGCATGTAAACCCCCTAATATTAATGGACCTTAGTAAAAATGATGAGTGGACAAATTTGTAAATTGCTAAAGTTTAGCATTCATAAAAAACTAACGTAAAATATGCTAAGATTGTTATTATCTAAGAAAAGTTTTAATTCAAATCCAAATTATGCTCTCTAATTGATGTGTTATACTTTCGTTGTTATGTTTAAAATAAAATTATCTTTGCTCATATCAATATAAGTTGCATCAAAGCTTTGTCCATATGCTTATGAAACAAGTAGAAAATGCATATACAAAATGGTGAAATTCTAAATGAACCTCTCATGCAGAACCAAAGCAAGCCTTGGCCACTTTAGCTGAACAACTTAGGCTTCATTTGGAACGGCTTTTTTGCTGCTTCTTAAAGTAACTTTTTAGTTCAATAATTAAAATTTTGTACTAGAAAGCTGCTTTAAGAAGCAACAAGAAAGTCATCCCAAACGAAGCCTTAATCATACCTAACAATTGAAGTTTAAGACTTCGTTTGAGACGGCTTTTTTATTGATTCTTAAAATAGAGTTTTAGTACAAAAATTAAAATTTTTGTACTAAAACTCCGTTTTAAGAAGTAATAAAAAAGTTGTCCCAAACGAAGCCTTAGTTATCATTTATTAGTCAAAGCCAAATAATATGTTCCAATATATGTTAGGTTTCAAAGAGGACCTTCTAAATAATGCTTAATAGGTTGGCTTGTGAGACTATGGAAATCTTTCTGTTTTCCATGATTGAGATCTTTGGAACCTACAAAGGACATCTATCCTTTTTTGTTGGATTTCTTATGATTTATTAGAAGCTTTTGCTGTGAATAATGAAGATCTTGCAATTTACATGAGCTTGGCATGCCTTCTTCAGAAAGGAAATTTCATGTAAACTTCTCTTTTAAATCGTTGAAATTTATGCAAATTAACATAGAAAAGCTAAGGAGCGGACAGTTAAAAGACAGAATAAGGAAAAAAAGGCCAAATTTTTCCGTATATATTGAAAAAAAAAAACAGACTGGAAGATCTCCATGTTCTTAAGAAATTACATATGTCATAGTATAATTCTCATATTCATTTAATAACAAATCCAACTTTGAAAGGATTCCGTTATAATTTCATTCCAGATTTTTTATTTTCATCATTTAGCAGCCACTTTGAGGCCAGCTTGATATCTAATAGAAAATCATAAGCCTTTGAGGCCTCAAATGAGACTAAATTTTGCATCACGTTAATCGTCTCCTGCCAAATCTTAGAGATTAAAAAACCAACTATAAGCAAATAGGCATATCTAATAGTTTTGTAAGGATGAAAGACTTTACTATGCTCCAGAACCTGATAAGAGAGGCTCCATCAAGAAGAAATTCTCATTAGGCAGAAGGTTTCTTACAAGCAATATGGAATCGGAACATTCAGAAAATTAATGGCTATTATTCTCTTCAGGATCATTACATAGAACGCAGCCATTTGTACAGTTCAAACACCTATTCTAGAAATTCTTAACAGTTTTAAAACCATCAAGGCATGTTTTCTATATGTAGACTAAATACCTCCAAGTATTTCCTTTAAACCAAACAAAAGTTGAAGTAATGTCAGGTACAACTCCGATAATGAAGGCTTCATATAGAATGGAACCTAGAGAATTACAAGAGTTGAAGGAGCAGTTATAAGATCTGATAGAGAAGGGATTTATCTGGTTGAGTGGATCCCCATGCAAAGCTCCAGTGTTATTTGTGTAGAAAAAGGATGGATCGTTATGAATGCGTATTGATTATAGAGAGCTAAAAAAGATAAATGCTAAGAATAAATTTCCATTTCCCATGATAGATGAGTTTTTTGATTAGTTAGAGGGTGTAGCTAGCTTTTTTAAGATTGATTTTAGATCAGGTTATCATTAGTTAAGGATAAAGAATGAAGATAATGCAAAGATAGCATTCAGTACAAGATATGGGTGTTATGAGTTCTTGGTGATGTCATTTGGTGTGACAAATGTACCATATATATACATGGACCTGATGCATCGGGTTTTCCAGGAGTATCTAGATCAGTTTATCATTATATTTATTGATGATATTTTGGTTTATTCTAAGTCTAAAGAGGAGCATATTGGTCATCCAAGATTGACTTTGGAGAAGTTGAGGTAGTAAAATTTTTGAAGTGTGAGTTTTGATTAACTTCAGTGGCATTTTTGGGGTATATGGTCCGTAATGAAGGAATCAATGTAGATCCTCAGAAGGTGCAGGCTATGGTTGATTGGCCAAGACTGATGTCTTTGAAAGAGGTTCAAAGTTTTTTTAAGGTTTAGCTAGATATTATTAAAAATTTGTTAAGGGATATTCTTAGATTGCTATTTCTAACCTAGAAGGCAGTTCCATTTCATTGGACACCAGAATATGAAGATAGTTTCTTGAGATTGAACTAATGTCTGGTGTTAGCTTTTGTTCTGATTATTTCATCTGAGATAGAAGGATTTCAAGAATACAATGATGCATCTTTGAGATGTTTAGGGTGCGTGCTTTAGCACAATGGGACAGTTGTGGCCTATGCATCTAGGCAATTGAAATCCAATAAGAAGAATTGCTCAACTCATAATTTAGAGTTAGCAACTATTATTTCTGCATTGAAGATTTGGAGGTATTATATGTGTTGTGTTATTAACCTCTGAATAAAAAACAAAAAAAAAAAGAGAACAAAAATTCCGCATACCTGTCGGTTCGGCGCCGTTTACATCGCATCCCACAATTTCTGCTTGAATCCTGCGATTGTACACTTGCCCTCGCTATTAAAACAACGGCAAAAGAACCTCTGTCGAGCCCGCTCTCTCTCTCTCTCTCTCTCGCAAGCAGCTTCAATGCCTTTCCCACGCACAAACCTCCGGCCTGCATCCCAATCTCCCCTCCTGCGACCGAACCCCAAGCGAAACCTCTGCAGACCACCAACTCTGGTCTTCACCTCCACTATAGATGCCTTCAACTACCGAACCAAAGTCCCAATTTCATCCCTTGTTCGCAAACAGCAAGCCCTATCTTCTTCCGATCTCCCAAGACAAATCCCTCAACGCCTCCCTGTCGCCTTCTCTACTCTAGCCAACCCAAACTCTTTGTTTTACATATAAAGAGTGAGAGAGAGAGAGAAAGAGGAAAAGAGGAAGTTGTTCTTCCTAACCTGTAGCCGAATCCCTCAGATCTTCTGCTATAGTCCTGATCAGACCCTTCTCTTTATGCGAAATCCCCTAGCTACTGACCTCTGTGCTCCCGACCTACCTCCCTCATTCCTAATCGTGCGACCCACAGCAGTCGACCCTGCTCCAATCGAATCTATCATCCATCCCTCCATCATCCTCTTTAAGAGAAAGTGAAATTTCAAATTTTAAATGTCAAATCTCCAAATTCTCGACCATTTCCAAACTCTTCAAATACCAATGCCCAATGTTGCAACTATATGCTTAATACTACGTATCTATGGATACAACGTATTTGATTAACGACTATCCTTAATCCAAAGTCCTCTCTCGTTACTGGGAGGGATAATTAACTATAGGGGCTTGCGCCTATAGGAATTCAGAACTCAGATCATAAAGTCCTCACAAAATGAAGGCAAAATCTCTGGGTAGTGTCTTATCTACAAGTCCATCCGCCTTTCAAAATTTACCCCGGAACTTAATTTCGTTAAAACTCCCCCTCGCCAAAAAAAGAAAGCGAAAAGCGGGCGAAGGTTGGGGCCGAACTTTTGGAGCCCACAGATTTTTGGCGACTTCGATGGGGAATGATTTCTTTTTTCATCTTTGGCTACTCATCTCAGTGTTATAGTAGCAACCATATCAACTCATACTCAAAATTTTAAGTCTTTCAGAATGATCGTTTAACGAATCAAAGCTTTGAATTTTTTGAAATGATAATTCAAAAAATTCATATGGCATTCAACAAAGTTTTTAAATTTATTTTTATTGCTTGCTATGTTAATTATTTTTGTTCATTTTTGTTTTTGTATTCTGTGCAAGTCTCTACATTTTGAAAGTATGGGGTGATGTATCAAATTCTGATTACTAACCATTGCTTTTCATTTATATAGATGGATCTACAGAACATCCCGATGACCGTCCAGCTGGGACGAGGAGCTAGGATTCAACTGACAAAAGCGATCATTAACATTGGAATACCGGGGTTACCATCCAGTTCAGTAGCATTGACTTCCCTGCAGCAGTTACAAGGACTGCCACCTTTTCTACGAATGACGGGAATGCTGAGAGGTCTGCCAAGAGACTCAATGCTGATGAAGCTCCCACTCATCGTGTGCATCTGCTGGCACAATGACCTGTTGATGAAAATTCTTATAAGAAGGTTTCTGTATTCGAGAGGCTATCACTGCCTGAGGCCCTGACCACCAGGAGGATTGTGAATGGTGGAAGAGTCTCTGTGGTGACTACAAACACCACACCCCTGTCAACCGTGTTATCTGCATCTGGGAAATATAATATTGAAGCCTTCTCATCTGGAGAGAGGCCTACAAGGAGGTAGAGAAGGAAGATGAATGCTGAACTCCGAGCTCAGCAGCAACTGGTGCTGGTACACCCTTCAAACCTACCTTCCCAAGAGTCTGAAGCTACCATTCCAATTCGGAATGGATTTGCAAACCTGAAGTGGGTAAAGAGAAATAGCTCTACTAGAGAGCTAAAGCAATCTTTTTGGGATCAATGACTTGAAACACCAATTCCTCCAAGGACGAAAGAGTCTGAGACTCTTTCAGCTCGGGTATACCGAGTTTTCAAAATAGTGAAAGAGAAAGGGATGAAGAAGAGAAGTTACAAGTGGACGAGACTAGAAGAGTTCTGCCAAGAGAGTGCCTATCTATTGTAGTGAAAATAAAGGAAAGAAAGTATATCTCATACGGTGAACATTGAGGTATGACACCCGAATTGCATGTTTGGGAATCCACCCCTGAAAGGTCCCGGCAGAAAGGAAAGTTGATTTAGAGGCTAAAACCCATAAAGAAGAAAGAGGAGATAGAAGAGAAAGAGGCATTCAGCTGGGCATGACATCCGGTGCAGCTTCTCGTAGATCTACCCCCGCCTATAAAGAATATTAGAAATGGGTCCCAAAAAGGACCCACAATGACACCCCTCCGGACGGTCAACACCTTGGAAAATCCTCTAGGGGATCCCATCGCTCTCCATACCCTTCAAAGGAAGAGACTAACTTCGATCGCAGGCCACTGGTCGAAGAAATCTCCTTTCCTAATTAGGAACCATAGATCTACGTCGCCGCTCGATCGGAGATCCAAGTACTAGAAAAGGAAGGGGAAGAAGACATAAAAGAAGGGGAAAAATATATCGAATGGGAAGAAATATAGAAAATATTGAAGAATATATGGAGGAAAACCTAGAAGAATAATTGGAAGAAATAAATAACACATTGTATATGAAGGTTATCTATATGGTGACACATATAGACATCGATGATGGAGCCAATTATGATGATGATGAAAATGACAGTCGTTGGCAACCGCCACCCAAGAAAGTATATCAACGCTGCCACAGAGATGGGTCCACCACTGGCAGAGGTGACCGTTCCCAAGGAGAAGAGGAAGTGAAGGAAGTAGAGGAGAATCCTTTTGATATCAAAGACATCACGCTTGCTGAAATACGGTGATATATGAGACGACAAATGAGAGCAAAGGACAGGGAAATCTCACTGTTAAATAAGAAGATGACTGAGGTGATAACCCAAATGGCGACAATGATGCAGAGAAATGCTATAGTTGGCTCTATGCCCAATCTTCCTCCGGATCCTCCAAACTTTTAAATGCCTTAAGTTTTAGGAGTACGTGGTACCCCTGAAGGTGGTAATGAAATCAATAATATTACCCGCCAACCCACTCCGTAGAACATAGCAAGTACTTCTGAGCCTATGACTACTGAACAGTTGGAAGGAATAATTATAGAAAATATTAGGGCTATTATAGCCGTTGATCAAGCAGAAAAGTTGGTGGGCAAAGGTCGTCCGTATCCTGCTGAATACGACCAACTACCGTACTCGAAAGGATATTCGGTCCCAAAATTTAACACTTTCAATGATAATAACAACTCCAGGTAGCACCTGTCATAGTTTAAAGCAACCTGCGGGAACACATGAGGCAAATGCTGCCCTACTCTTTTGATAATTCGTCAGCAATTTGACAGCAACTGCTTTCGAATGGTATGCTGAACTACCAAATAATTCTATAAAGACCTTCACAAAATTGGAAACTATGTTTATGAAGAGATTCGCTAGTGTAACAAAGAAGATAATAATCATTGACCTTACTCTAGATAAAAGAAAAAGGGAAGAATCAGTGACAAAATACATAACTCACTAGCGTAACCTGAGCATGAAATATGAGCAACAACTTGAAGAAGAGCATGTCGTATAGTTGTTAATGGGCAATATTGATGATAAGATGAAATCCTTCATATGTATGGCAACAATCAACATATTTCAAGACTTGTTAGATAGAGTGGCCAAATTTGAGAAACTGAACTTGTCTAGATTAGAAAATCACTCTAATAAGTCAAAGAAGGCTAAAGGCTCAGGTGCTAGAAGGGGTGAGGCTGACTCTACATTCTTCTCTAGAGCTGATAGAGAAAAGTAGGTGATCTATAACATAGATAAAGGCAAGCAGCTGATGCAATACGAAGAAAAGCCCAAGCAGGCCTACAACCCTAACCCCCAACTGAAGCTGATACTCGGGAGAAATAATAGGCCATAAACCTTCCAAAGTGGAGGAGAACGCCTGAGACAGGAAATAGGAATTGGTGATAGAGAGTTCCAATCCCTCAAAATTAAATGAATGAAGAATATTCATTCAAGAGAGAGAGTGTTGCCAAATTATTTTGACTCGTATTGAAAGCGAGTTTAGAACTACTTGAATGCAAGAGGCCCGAAGAGTCGAAGCACACTTGTGACCTAAATTATTACCCGTACCATCGGGTAGTCAAGCATCCTATTGATGATTGTTATATTTTTAAGGATTGTATTGAAAGAAAATATTGAAAGGGGGAACTCACATTGTCCGACAATGTGCTGGTTCACTCTAGAAAGGAATCAACTCGGATAGTTACGACTTCCTCCATATCCCCGATTGAAGAAATAAGAATAAAAAAGGTGATGATTCAAGAAGAACAGTGGGAGACTGCGATCTATAAGAAAACTGTGAAAATATTGAAACAGCTCAATGGAGTTCTAGGAGTAAAGTGGAAATCTCCTACGGAGCCAGTGTTAAACTTGAAAGCTCTTCCTACAGCACAAGCATCTTCTTTTAAATAACTCCCCAATCAAGCTGGTTCTTTAAAGTCTAGAAAGATAAAATCTTCTAAGAGAAAGACTAAACTAAAGATGCCTACGGAGAAAAAGACTGTAACTTAGAGAGTTATTGACAGTTTTGATGAATACTACCAGACTGTGAGGTGACCTATCAAGCTCGCTGACTTCATGCCAGAGCTTAAAATTGATGAAGCTGAAGAAGGTGATGAGAATTCTCTTCCAACATAAACACGTTGGGTCATCTCAGTGGCACCAAATACAATGATAAAAGAAAGACACTTTTGAATCCTATCTGATGGTGACATCAATGGACTATAGCTCGAAAGAAGACTTGTATTTTTTAGAGGAAGATGGATTAGACCCCTAGTATAGCATCTCGGAAGGGATATGTAAACCTGGGTGGTCACTCTGAATCAACAGATGATTCCCTTGATGCAACAATGGATGACTCTAAAGAAAATGTGCTTCTAAATGAGTCTAAATCAAAGGAGATTGCTCAAGTGCAGTTGAGAAGCGGCAATATACTGCCTCCTTTGCCAAAGAAGGGGGTCTCCAACAAAGATAAGGAGAAAGAGATAGTCATCAACGATGATATTATCCCTGAAGATTCTAAGAAAAGAACACTTCAGCCAAGGGGATAGATTATAATATCTTATCTCATATGAGGAAGAACCTAGTACAACTCAGTATATATGACACTTTTATAATGTTTACGGACATTCAGGATACTTTGATTCAGGCTCTCAAAGACCCCAAAGGTACAAGACATATTTTACTGAGCGTGATATGATGGAGGTCTTGCAAGCTCAAAATGAGTCGTTCATTACCTTCTCTGAGGAGGACATGATGCTTGGTACGGTATACCATAATCGTTCTCTATATATTACTGCAGAGAACGATAAGTTAATCATTAGCTGAATCCCGATCAATCCCAAATCTTTAATAAATCTAATAAGCTTATAAGCACTTAGATCCCTCTACCTCGATGTGTTGCACCTTGGG